GTAAAATCCTACCGAGTGGTGAGGAACCCTCCCACTCGGGGGCTTAGCTGTAGTCCAGTACTTGCCTAAGTTTGTAAAATCCTACCGAGTGGTGAGCAACCCTCTCACTCGGGGGCTTAGCTGCATTCCAGTACTCACCTAAGTTTGTAAAATCCTACCGAGTGGCGAGCAACCCTCCCACTCGGGGGCTTAGCTGCAGTCCAGTACTCGCCTAAGTTTAAAATCCTACCGAGTGGTGAGCAATCCTCTCACTCGGGGGCTTAGCTACAGTCGAGTACTCGCCTAAGTTTGTAAAATCTGGACTACGCCACAAGTACAATGTATGCTCCATCCCCATCCGCAAGGACGACGAGGTGCAGGTCGACCGCGGCCTTCTACTCCGAGCTACACCACAAGTACAACGAACGCTCCATCCCCATCCGCAAGGACGACGAGGTCCAGGTCGACCGCGACCTTCTTCTCTGAGCTACGCCACAAATACAACATGCGCCCCATCCCTGCCCGCAGGGATGACGAGGCACAAGTTGATTGAACTCTCCACTTCAGGTACATCCCAAAGAGCAAATTCCATGCGAAGGCAAATACAAACATATTCAAAAATAAACCAAGTTCAGACAGATCCAAAAAATTCCAGGCGACGGATCAAAAGTATTCGAGCATCATGCTCGAAGGAGTTTAATGGTTACATCAACCACTCGGCATCCCGAGGCAAATTTAAGGCAAGTTTAAATCTCAAGTTTGTTCATTCGGCAGGAGGAGGGCTGGTAGGTTCAACGAATTCGTCCAAGTCGATTCCATCTGCAATCCGAGTGGCGGCAGCTATGAAAGTCTCCATAAAGGACTGGAAATCGTGCCTTTTGGTGTTGGCGACCTTGATCGCCGCCAGCTTGTCTTCGCGAGCTTCTTTGAAGTGGACTCTTACCAAGGACAACGCCACGTCAGCACCACACTGGGCAGAGGACTTCTTCCACTCTTGCACTCGACCAGGAACCTCGTTCAGCCGAGTCATCAGAGATTCGAGGTCATTTTGAAGCGTCACCCTTGGCCAGAGTGAGGAGTCGATCCGTGAAACTGCCACCTTCAGACGAGCGAGGTAACTTGTGACACTGGCGACATGGGATTCTAGTCGAAGCACATTCATGGCAACCTCGTCACCGACTGGAGAAACGATAGGGTCTAAACCCGTCTCGATCCGTCCAGTTTCCTCGTCAAAGTTTTGGCAGAATTCTGTAGTCAAAGAGTTAGTGAGTCGACTGGACAGGATTAACTCGCAAGCAGTAAAGCAGTCGGATTAAAAGGAGTACCTTCCAGCATAAGATAGAGCTTCTTGGCAAGAGTTCTCAAATAAGCTTCCACGTCATTTCTCTTGCGAGTCGTAAATTCCAACTTCTCATTCAGAGCCATCTTATCCTTCTTCAGACGAGTTACCTCTCGGTTGGATTCAGTGAGAGAGGACTTCAACTTGCTTACTTCTTCTTCCAGCACTCCGACCGAAGCCAGCTACTGGTCTGCAAGAGCAGTCTCATCTTGAGCCTCCTTCTGCGCAGCCGCAAGGTCCAAGTCCTTCTTTTCCAGAGCCAACCTCATTTTCTCTGCAAGATAAGCAATCGTATCAAACAAGAGATCGAAGAAATATTTTAAAAAAGACGATCGATGTGAACAGTTGACATGCAGTTACTGTAACGCCCTCGATGCGGCTATATCTCCCACGTGTCGAAGCACGACTTAGAGGCATAACCGCATTGAAAGTAATGTCGCAAGAGAGGTAATTTTCACACAACCCATGTAATACATGAGGGAGAGAGATACATAGTTGGCTTACAATCGCCACATCACACAATACATGAATAAAGCATTACATCAACCAAATACAATCAAGGTCCGACTACGGAACCAAAATAAAAGAAGACTACCCCAAATGCTACACGCCCAAAACGGAGCTACGGATGCGGAGTTACGACATGATGAACAAGGGCATTTGAAACATGGAAATCTCGAGGACTTAGTGAAATTATACCTCCGCGAAAGTCAACGCGGGACGGAGGGATCCGGGACGGAATGGATCGGGACGCGAGGAGGCCGTTTGGTTGGACTCCCGGTGGATCCGGTCCACCTTCTTCTCCGGCGAGGCACGGACTCCGGTGAGGCGGTTGGAGGAACTCCAGCGAGGCAGGGAAGGCAAAGGAGCGGCGGGTCCGGTGGGGCTTGGCTCCCCGGGTCCGGATCTGTCCAAGATGGCGGCGCTCGGGCCCCGTGGGCGAGCAGCGGCGGGATGGCGAAGCTTCGACGAGGGCAGGCCACGGCGCTCCGGCGAGCGCGAAGCACTCCGGCGAGCAGGGGGCCCATGGTGCGGGCGGGGCGATGCGCGGGTTGCGGCGCTCCAGCGAGCGGCCGGGGCGAGGCGCGAAGGCGGCGTGCGAGCAAGGCGGCGGGATGCGGTGCCGGCGGCAAGCAACTCCGGCAAAGACGGCGGAGTCCGGCGATGCTCCAGCGGCGGAGTCGGCGGCTGATGGGCGGCGCGACGTCTCGGGCACCCGGGCGGTGCGGCCGGCGAGATCCGGGCCGGGTGGGCCGCGCCTGGGCCCGCAGGGCCGCGGCGGCGGAGGAGAGAGAGAGGAGCCGACCGGATGAGGTGGCGAGGCATGATTGGAGGTGGGAGGCGGTGGTGATGACGTGTCGCGACATGATTCGCCGGAGTGAGGTGGCGGCTGGACGCGTCCGGCGGCGTGCGGGGAAAGATTTAGGGTTTCATCTACGTGCAAAATCCGGGAGGGACACATATTTATAGGTAGAGGGAGCTAGGAGAGTCCATATGAGGTGCGGTTTTCAGCCACGCGATCATGATCGAACGACCGAGATGATGGAGGAGGTTTAGGTGGGTTTTGGGCCACTTTGGAAGGGTTTTGGGCTGCAACACACATGAGGCCTTCTCGGTCCCTCGGTTCACCGTTGGAGTATCAAACGAAGTCCAAATGATACGAAACTTGACAGGCGGTCTACCGGTAGTAAACCAAGGCCGCTTGGCAAGTCTCAGTCCAATCCGGAAATGTTTAACCCCCACACATGAAAAGAAGGTAGAAATGACCACCGGAGGAGATAGGAGCGCCGGAATGCAAAACGGACAATGGGGAAAATGCTCGGATGCATGAGACGAACACGTATGCAAATGAAATGCACATGATGACATGATATGCAATGCATGACACGCAAGCAATGACAAGGCAACAACAGCAAATAACTAGAGGACACCTGGCACATCGGTCTCGGGGCGTTACAACACTCCACCACTACGAGAGGATCTCGTCCCGAGATCTAGAATGGCACCGGAGGAACAACGGAAGAGAAAAGAGGAGAGGTAAAACTAAGTTGCTTCATTGACAAACGAGTGAAACCACGAACCTTGAAGAGGTTAAGCCACTCCGGGAGAATAATACAACGGAGATGAACGAAGTTGAAAGCACTCCGTTAAGAAAGAGGAACAAGTAGGAACAAATTCGGGCAGCACTCCGGTTGAAAAGAGATGCAAGGCTTGATAAGGCGAAAAGAACTTGAGCAAAAGGGCACAACACTCCGGTTAAATGGATAGGCATGAAAAGAACACTATCCAAGATGATGAGAGAAGAGAGAAAACATCACCATGACTCCGGAACAAAAGAATAGAATGGAATGGAATGAGCGAAGGGAAACAGGATCTTGAGGGAGCACGCTTACAACAAATGCTAGAACGGACTTGTTGGAAAAACCAACAACGAAAAAATAAGCTTGATATGGTCTTATGGAATACATCTCCGATTATGAGGTGACAACCTGCCACTCACGGGAAAAAGAATTGGATTGATAAGAACAAGGAGACGAGAAACTTATTTGACCGGAAGGATGAAAGAAGAACTTGGGTCTTATATGAGCACCATAAATAGCAACAATCCTTAGGGACGGTTTTAGGTGAAATATAGCCCAAGATAATTCCAATGACGAGATTGATGGATTTAAAATAGCTCATTCTTAACAACATGTGAATAATGAGACACGAACTCAAGTTATCAAGAATGACATAATACCACCTCAAACGATATGGTTGAAAGAATTGCACTTTAAAATGCCAGATAAAGAATGCTTGAGTTCCTCTGAAAAGAATCTTGATGAGCACTTCGAGAAGGGATTAAATCCTTGATGAACCATCATGTAGAACCTTCATGAAGAACTCCGGTAAACAAAAGAATGGTCAAACGAAAGGAAAGAGAAGTTGAAAACACAAGTTGAATCCTTGTAACGATTTAGATGGATCTTCGTGATAAATAGAGCTTGGAACTCCGGGAAAGAAAAAGGTAAAACATCTCGAACTGAGAATATGATATGATGAACCACTCCGGTAAAAAGAATTAATCACTTGGATGGGACAAGAATAAGAATTATATTAAGCATATCCTTCACTAATTAAATTGATGACAAACAACGGATTTGGCATACTACTTATTCTCGTAGAAAGGATTAAGATAGATATAGCGTCAACTTGGAAAGGTCTTCCATGAACCATCGGTCGGGTTGAAACAACGAATAAATTGATATGATGAACGAAGGAAGACAAAATCTTGGAAGAACCACCGTAAGAATTGAGAATGAACAAAAATACATGAGAGATTTTAGATACAAGAGAACAAAGAGATCATGAACTGATTAGAGAATATACTTGAATGATGCACCGGTTAGATTTGGAGAATGAGAGCTGAAAGCTGGAATGAATAATCCTGAATTGATGGCCTTCATATAAACAAACTGAAAAGACTCCTGAATTACTCCGAATGGGTGAAAAGAATTCTCATAATCAAAACAATTATGAGGGGATGGCAATAAACTAGAATCACGAATCTTGAAGAGAATGGAGCAGGATTGAGAGAAAATCTTCTTCGGTCTTCAAATTTTGAATTACGACGAGAAATACCACCATGAATTGTTTAGACACTCCGGAAGAATCGAAACAAAGAGGTTGAGCCAATGATGAAAAGAACTTGAAATATCTTGGAGAAACCCTCTGACTGATGAAAATTCATTCTTACGTCAAACTTCGAAAGAATTTAGGCTAGCTCCGGGAAAAATTAGAAGAGTCAGGTAAGATCCTGGGAAAAGACCTGTGGGTTAGGGCCCACTCAAAAAAAACACCGTTGAACAATTTAAAAGAGAGAATGCACCGGTTGAATTAAAAGACTTGAATGAGATAACAACCTCGAGAAAGGTTGAACTGATCTTGAAAGACAAGAAGAGCCTTCTGAGATATCTTCAGCACTCCCGAACAAATGAATAGCGAGAAGTAAATTATTATGAGGTGCACCGGTATGAGAAGGTATTTGAAACGAGGAGAACGATATGATCAATAACGCTTGAATTTAAACCACCGGAGAAGAAAAAATGAGTAAAGGGTGACGAACTTGGAGCTCCGTTAGAATCTTCATGAGAATCACCAGACACGAACATGAAGGAAAGAATGGAGAGACTTCACATGAATCAAAGGATACTTGATTAAGAAATCTGAGTCCTTGAAGAAAAAGGGTGGGTGGAGGGAAAAACAAAGGCAACTTGGAGACGGATGAAACAAACACCATTGAGAAGAACTGATACTTGATCTTGCGGGTGTTGAAATGATCGGATCCACTTGAAGAGAAACACACCGGTGGAACAGGATTTACATGACAATCTCGATTATCAAGAAGGATTAGTATTCACATCAGAGTATGAGAACACCGCTTAGGAACAGGTATGGAATCAACATTTGACTCCGAAGCAACTCGAATACCACAACTCAAAACAAAACACAGAATTGGCTTGCAGAATAAGCCGGAACAAACATACGATAGAGATTTCGTCCGAAGTTTTCGTGGTGGGGCCTACACGGGCTCGATCGTACAGCACCATCATGTACAAGGCAGTGCACATGACATACGAAGCGTCCCCGAGTCGGCATAGCCAAGGACTCTTTAAGACACAACGAGACCACTGTAAAACCAACCGTGAATAGGCGGACCACTAGACGTCGAACCCCAATTTCAAATCATACATCTATCGGAAAGATATCCTAAGAGCTACTTGAATTCCCACTTATAAACTCCCGAATTTTTCCCGGTTATGCAATCAGGTGTTGGGGATACAGGGGAAGCATAATATCTCACCCAAACTAGCAAATCCTACATCCAGCTGTATCCATCTTTCAACACATAACCAAGAAACCTTCGGAAATCATCTACCTCAACCTTCGAAAAGCATCCGTTATACAAGTTATGGCAATACTCCCGAACTCCCGCCCCAGTACTGGGTGGCGTCGAGGTTATCTCACCAACGAACTGCATAAAAGAGATTTTCGATGTCGGCGTACTAAACTCAGGTATTCCAGAACTGCAACGATAAAATTGTGACGACAACACCTCGAAGCTCAACTCCCCGGGACACTGCCACAACCCCTAAATGTCAGGAGGCACCAAGAACAATGTTCTTGTCACAAAACCATCGGAACGATTCCAAGATACCCGCGTGATCCTAAATTTTTTTTGTGAAATTTGAGAAGAGAAGAGTCAAAACTCTACGTCAGGATGCCTTACCAGAGCGATGAAGGGACTGAGGAGTAAAAAGAATTCCTAACTCTCCGATATATAATTCCTAATTGACTCAAAACATTTTTCTAGACTCAACAATGTCAGCTAATTCGATCAAGCAGTGGGGGCTCCTAAGGTCGGGGAAGGCTCTGATACCAACTTGTAACGCCCTCGATGCGGCTATATCTCCCACGTGTCGAAGCACGACTTAGAGGCATAACCGCATTGAAAGCAATGTCGCAAGAGAGGTAATCTTCACACAACCCATGTAATACATGAGGGAAAGAGATACATAGTTGGCTTACAATCGCCACATCACACAATACATGAATAAAGCATTACATCAACCAAATACAACCAAGGCCCGACTATGGAACCAAAATAAAAGAAGACTACCCCAAATGCTACACGCCCAAAACGGAGCTACGGATGCGGAGTTACGACATGATGAACAAGGGCATTTGAAACATGGAAATCTCGGGGACTTAGTGAAATTATACCTCCGCGAAAGTCAATGCGGGACGGAGGGATCCAGGACGGAATGGATCGGCACGCGGGGAGGCCGTTTGGTTGGACTCCCGGTGGATCCGGTCCACCTTCTTCTCCGGCGAGGCACAAACTCCGATGAGGCGGTTGGAGGAACTCCAGCGAGGCATGGAAGGCAAAGGAGCGGCGGGTCCGGCGGGGCTTGGCTCCCCGGGTCCGGATCCGTCCAAGATGGCGGCGCTCGGGCCCCATGGGCGAGCAGCGGTGGGATGGCGGAGCTTCGACGAGGGCAGGCCGCGGCGCTCTAGCGAGCGTGAAGCACTCCGGTGAGCAGGGGGCCCATGGTGCGGGCGGGGCGATGCGCAGGTTGCGGCGCTCCGGCGAGCGGCCGGGGCGAGGCGCGAAGGCGGCGTGCGAGCAAGGCGGCGGGATGCGGTGGCCGGCGGCGAGCAACTCCGGCAAAGATGGCGGAGTCTGGCAATGCTCCGGCGGCGGAGTCAGCGGCTGATGGGCGGCGCGATGTCTCGGGCACCCGGGCGGTGCGGCCGGCGAGATCCGGGCCGGGCGGGCCGCGGCGGAGGAGGAGAGAGAGAGGAGCCGGCCGGATGAGGTGGCGAGGCATGATTGGAGGTGGGAGGCGGTGGTGATGACGTGTCGCGACGTGATTCGCCGGAGTGAGGTGGCGGCTGGACGCGTCCGGCGGCGTGCGGGGAAATCTTTAGGGTTTCATCTGCGCGCAAAATCCGGGAGGGACACATATTTATAGGTAGAGGGAGCTAGGAGAGTCCAAATGAGGTGCGGTTTTCGGCCACGCGATCGTGATCGAACGACCGAGATGATGGAGGAGGTTTAGGTGGGTTTTGGGCCACTTTGGAAGGGTGTTGGGCTGCAACACACATGAGGCCTTCTCGGTCCCTCGGTTCACCGTTGGAGTATCAAACGAAGTCCAAATGATACGAAACTTGACAGGCGGTCTACCGGTAGTAAACCAAGGCCGCTTGGCAAGTCTTGGTCCAATCCGGAAATGTTTAACCCCCACACATGAAAAGAAGGTAGAAATGACCACCGGAGGAGATAGGAGCGTCAGAATGCAAAACGGACAACGGGGAAAATGCTCGGATGCATGAGACGAACACGTATGCAAATAAAATGCACATGATGACATGATATGCAATGCATGACACGCAAGCAATGACAAGGCAACAACAGCGAATAACTAGAGGACACCTGGCACATCGGTCTCGGGGCGTTACAGTTACCTTCCATACCAGCAGCTTCATCTTGAGCTTTCTTCAACTTTTGTTGGGCCAGCTCCAAGTCAAGGTTAAGTTGCCTCTGCTTCCCCTCAAATTCGGTGAACTTAGAAATGAGAGTACAAGATTTCTGCAGAAGGTAAAAGACATGTCAATCGACAAGATCAAAGATTATTTACTTCCGAGTGAATAAAACTTAAAAGTTTGCTCAGACCCCAGCCGATTGCCCGCAGTCGACCGCGGTCTCGGGGACTACACCTAGCGGGTGCACTTGGCGTGCCCCCACTGATTCAGACCCCACTCGACTGGTCCGCCCGGGTCGAGTAAAAAAAGAAGGAAAGAGAGAAGAACTATTCAGACCCCGTCCGACTGCCAGCAGTCGACCGCGTTCTCGGGGACTACACCCAGTGGGTGCACTTGACGTGCCCCCACTGGTTCAGATCCCACTCGGCCGGTCCGCCCAGGTCGAGTGGAAGAAAGGAAAGTGAAAAGTACTCAGACCCCAGTCGACTGCCCGCAGTCGACTGCGGTCTCGGGGACTACACCCAGTGGATGCACTTAGCGTGCCCCCACCGGTTCAGATCCCACTCGCCCAGGCCGAGTGACAGAGCGCAAATACGAAAAACAACAAAACACCCAGTGGGTGGACAGATTCGACGCAAACAATAAGATATTGTATGAAAGAAAATATTTCAGGTAGCATATCCTAATAGAACAAGGTCAGTCGAAAGCCAACTTACCTGGACACTGGCCCGAAGAGCCGCGCTGGCATCGTAAGCAGCCTGGCTGTTCTCGTGCACCGTCTTCATCCGCTCCATCATCACGTTAGCCTGACGGATAGCCTTCATGGTGGCGTCCGACTGGCTTTCCGGAACATGTTAGTTGGTGAAGAAAGGGGCAGACGGCCCAGATGCGGCAGCTTGGAGCTCCGAGGCATGGGGTTGGGCGGCTGAAGGAAACACTGGTACAATCGACGATGCAGGGTGCTCACTCGACAATGGGACAACAAAAGTCACAGAGGCCCCACCTGCATCTTCATGTTGTTGGATAGTTAGTTCCGTCGTCAGTCCCGGCTGAGATGTCTTGCCAGCCGCTACTTTTTTGTTCTTTCTGGGCCTCGGAGCCACATCTTCATCATCATCCGGAAGCTCGATAACGTTGGGTGGGGATGCAAATAAATTAGTCGACCCCAAGTGAATCGCCAGAATCTGATCGACCAAATAATCAAGAACAAGATCACGAGAATTTTACCTGGGTTGGAGGTAACTGCATCTTCCATTTCCTTGTCTCGGTATTAGCGGGAAGATGTTCCAGAGGTAGCAGCACTGCAAATGTCAACTTTCAATCAGTTAAGTTCTATTGCTCGAGTCGACCAAAAGAGCGGGTCAGATGATTACCCGGAGATGGTGGGAATGGTCACTTTGATTCTGGGCAAAGCCTTCGGCGGTTTGGAGGATGTGGCCTTCAATAGTTTCGGCGCAGGAGGCGGCGCAGTCTTGAGCTATTTCGGTCCCTTCTCAATCGGCACCGGAGAAGACGTCCGAGGGTGCTTTGAAGACTGCCCAGTCGGTGCGGCCACCAGGTCAGGGGTGTTTGCTGGGTCGTGAGCGTGCTTGGACCTCCTTTCCCTGCGAGGAGGCGAGTCGACCTCTTCTTTGTCACTCGAGTCATCGCTCTCCTCGTCCTCCTCTGCATCCGAGTGCCACTTGCCACTCTCGCCCATGCTCGCCCCTTCCTTGACATTTTGCTCCTGCACTCCATTGGGCATCGAGTACATATCAATAAGAGCCTGAAAAGACAATGAACAAAATAAAGACAGTCGACTGTCAACAAGATGTTACATAATAAATCAAGAAGACACTCGACAATGCAGAATTGTACCTGTCTGGCTGGCGCGAATGGTCGAATGGAACCACCCTCCTGGACCCCCGGGGATTATCCTTGTTGCCGGTAATACCTCTCAGCCACTTCTCCACTATGTCCTCACTAACATCCTCCGGGTGGATCCGAGTGGAATCCTCGAGTCCCGAGTACATCCACATCGGATGGTCACGAGCTTGGAGTGGTTGGATGCGTGACTGAGGAAGACCTCCAGCAGGTCCATGCCAGTCACTCCGTCACGGACAAGTTGGACGACCCGCTCGACCAACACCTTCACCTGCACCTTCTCTTCCGGGATCACTCTCAAGGAGAAGGGCTTCTCCACTCAAGCCATGGAAAAGGGAGGAAGTCCAGTCGACTGACCCGGGGTTGGCCGGTCCTTGCAGTAAAACCAGGTCGACTGCCAGCCCCGGACCGAGTCGGGTAGGATCATAGCTGGGAAGGTGCTCTTGTTCCTCATTTGAATTCCAAGACCCCCGCACATCTGTATCACGTGCGTCTTCTCGTCACTCGGGTTGGCCTTCTTGACCGTCTGGGAGCGACATGTGAATATGTGCTTGAAGAGACCCCAGTGCGGTCGGCAGCCCAAGAAATTCTCGCACATGGACACGAAAGCAGCAAGGTACATGATGGTGTTTGGAGTAAAGTGGTGGAGTTGAGCCCCGAAGAAGTTCAAGAAACCATGAAAGAAAGGGTGGGGAGGCAAAGAAAATTTGCGGTCGACATGAGTGGCGAGGAGAACGCACTCACCCTCCTGAGGCCGCGGCTCAGTCTCGTTCCCCGAGAGCCGCGCCGATTCGTGGGGGATCAGTCCCCCCTCAACCAGATCGTCGATGTCATCCTGTCTGACCGTCGAGCGGATCCAGTCGCCCTGGATCCAGCCAGGCGGCAGGCCGGACCTCGACGAGGATCCACCCCGGCTGGTCCTCTTCCCTTTTGCCTTCGTCGTCGCCTTCTTCGCACGCTCCAACACCACCGTCTTCTCCTTACCCATGGCAGTGAATCGAGTCTGAGCGGAGCTATGGCGCCGAGAGCAGAAGCAGGTGCAGCGGAGAAATCTGAGGAAGAGGAAGGGGAATGAGGGCGCACTGTTCAAAAGCCCTGGTTCGGTGCCTTATATAAGGACACTTCAGAGTGACTGACTTGTAGGCCCCGGCGATCTTATCAAATCCCGGCAGAAAAGGTGGCGCGGGAATCGAGGCGACCTGCCTAATCCGTCCCGATTACCGCGGCCTCCCCCGCCCGGCGCGCTTCCCAAAATTCGAATCCCATGAAATCCACACACGGCAGAACAACCCGCCAGACGGAAGATTTGTTCCATATCAACACTCGAAACTTAACAACAAAAAGTTCACTCGACAAAACCAAGAATGGATCAAGGCGACTGAACAAGCAGTTGAAGCCATCATGAAGGTTCGTTCGACCTCTGGGCGAGATATTCTCAAAGCACAAAGGCTGAATCGGAGGGGTTATCAACTCCTTCTCCACTCGAACCCTGAACCATTCGGGGGCTAATGATGAAGCTATGTACCTAGGGTAGGGTCATGGACCTGACCTAGACATCCTCCCCTAGGACAGCACCCTAAAGACAGGATCATTCAAAGAGTACCATCATCCACTCGAACATAGATGTTCCACTCGAAAGAATCAATCTCATTCGACCGTCGCAAAAGTGGCTCGACGGGCAGAAGAGCTAAAGTCACTCTGCACGACCAACGGTCGAGCATTTACTTGTAGGATTAATTGTCATTTATAGCACCTAAATACATGCGTTACCAGTAACGTCTCCATATTTATGTACCTTAAACCCTTTGTAACTGAGGGCGAGAGGGGTCTGGCGAACTCTATATAAGCCACCCCCCCTCCTCAGGGACAAGGGTTTGCACCCCCTGTAACACACACGCATATAATCCAGTCGACCGCCTCCGGGCTCCGAGACGTAGGGCTGTTACTTCCTCTGAGAAGGGCATGAACTTGTAAAACTCGCGTGTACAACTCCTTCATAACTAGGATCTTGCCTCTACATCCCTACCCCCATTCTACTGTCAGACTCAGAACCACGACACCAGCTACTCACCGAGATGGACGACATGAACGCCAAGAAGACGATCTTCATCATCGGCGCCACCAATAGGCCGGACATTATTGACTCGGCATTACTCCGTCCTGGCTGCCTGGACCAGCTCATCTACATCCCCTTGCCAGACGAGGCCTCGCGGCACTAGATCTTCAAGGCCTGCCTCGGGAAGTCTCCCATGGTCAAGGACGTGGACCTCGGTGCTTTCGCAAGGTTCACCGCCGGCTTTAGCGGTGCCGACATCATGGAGATCTGCCAGAGGGCGTGCAAGTACGCCATCAGAGAAGACATTGAAAAGGACATGGAGAGGCAGAGGATGGGGAAAGACACCATGGAGGTGGACGGCGGGCAGGAAGAGGAGGAGGTGGCTGAGGTAAAGGCGCCTCACTTTGAGCAGTCGATGAAGTAGGCAAGGAGGAGCGTGAGCGACACCGACATCAAGAAGTACCAGGCCTTCGCGCAGATGCTGCAGCGGTCTAGGGGGTTTGGTACGGAGTTCCACTTCCCGGCGCAGCCACAAGCAGCAGAAGCTCCTGCCGACACTATCGTAGCATCTGATGAGGATGAAGACGATCTGTACAAGTGATCCAGTAACCATTGTTAGAAAATGAAGTGCCAAAATATTATAGGCTATGTTTTTGTTCTGTTTCCTCTCGTCCATCACTCATTACATGTATATTTAATTTTTGTTTATAAGAATTTACATACATCATATAAATAATAAGGTCCTTGTTGTGCTTTCCTAGACTCTGAAAACTAGCCTAAGCGTTAACTGAATATTAATAGAAACTGAAATACTAGAACATTATTATAGACTCTGTTTTTGTTCTGCTTCCTCTTTGTTGATCACTTTTTATTGTTGAATCCCTTCATTCACGTATATAATTTTCGTTTGTAAGAACTAAGAACTTACATCATATAAATACAATTCGTGAAATCAGAATCTCCTTCTTCTGGCAAAGAAAGTGTACATGATTTCGTCTTATTTTTCTGTTAACTGAACCGTCCCTCTGCTCCTGCACAAGATCTGAAAGATCCTCTATTATTTTCGTTTCTCGGACACTTATACGCTTGAATATTTTACTTAATTGAGTGGCCTTATTAATTTCTGATTAATATAACGGCCACAAAACAATTGCATGATAACTTTTCTTATTGAACTTTAAAGAATTTGGCAAATACTTCTTGCAGTGCTTAGTGAATGTGTCTAAAACTTGTGGATCCCAAAAGTCTTAGTTGCAGAAAGTTCTTTGTTAGTGTATATCCACAGTGTGCAAAAAGGCTGTCCATAAGCAATAAAGTACCCCCAAGGGCAGCAAAACTATCCAATGGAACCTGGGTCTATGCACACCCACATTAGAAAATATTTAAAAATAGCAAAAAAGAGTTAAACAACTGTAAAACTTTTTTGTAACGGATATGGTCTAGTGTCATACCCACGTGTAAAGTTTCGTGAAGAAATGACTTTCCGTTCTTCTATGCGAGAGAACACAAAATTGGTTATATATAAAAATTAGTACTCAAGTTTTCTGAAAGTTGAAATTTTATATTCTTTTGCCTAGAAGAACACCAAAGTCATTTCTTCATGAAACTTCATGCATGAGTAGAACACTCAACCATGTTTGCCAGGAAAAAAAGTTTCACAAATGTATGATTTTTAATAGATTTTTCAGAATTATATGGCTTAGCAGGTGCGCCTAGAACCATGCCCTGATAATCCGCACCATTACAGGAAATCCTTATACACCATGGGAGATGACCATAAGTCATTAAGCTTAAGGACAGCCCACAAATGTGTGGCAATCAACTTTTATTTGAAATTGAGCTATGATGTTGTAGGTTGCTAGATTCGATTAAAAAAACAAAGTCCAAAAAAGCTTGTGGTCTTGTGGATAGTCTACATGGCATAAAAATATGGGTGTGGCTAGGACTCAATACAGTCAGGCTAAATCAAGTCTCAATCGGCTGATGTTATGCATGTGGGTAAGCCTGTTCCGGCCCTCCTTGTCGAATATTGTATTTTCCCCTTTTGGGCATTAGTCTGGGCCTTGTGGGTTGTGTTTGTCTTTGTGTGATGTTTTTTGAGCTATGGATGCGCTCTCCACTTTTCCCGATGTTTGTTTTGTCGCTTACTAACTACGTAGCTGCAAAAGGAGTGGAGAAAATTGTATGTAGGAACAACATAGAATAAGTTGGTTGAAAACACGAGTTACAGATTTTCTTTCAAGGACATAGAAATGGTTAATTACAATGCCATGCAATCTATAGGACATTCAAAAAAGAACAATCTGAATCTACACAAGGAGAGGTGCAGGTTTTTACTTGTCTGAATCTAAGTCCCTCTCCGTAGCACCCCTATGTAATGAGCTACAGTAACCCTCTTGATTAAGCTAACTCATTTGCTAAACAGTGCTTGATCATCTGTCTCAATATCTTATTTCAAATTCCACTTTGAATTCAAATTCAAATCATAAGTGAAATAAAAAAATTCACATATTCGCAAAATAAATAAATTCACAAACATGAAAATTAAAATGTTCATAATGTGGAAAATAATCCATAGATACTTATTGCGAAGAAACCAACATTTTGTAAAGTGTTGGTTTGCCCTAAAATATTTAAAACAGGGGCCAAAACAATAATTTAAATGATTTTTAAATTAAAAAAATAAACTATTTTATTTAGTGCCAAACTTTTTGTGGCAGTTAATAACACTAATTTAGGAGCAAGTTTTGTATTTTATAAAACTATTTTGCTTTTAGAAATAAAAGGTAAACAAAAAGAAAAAGAGAAAAAAAGGGAAATCACCCCCTGCCCCTGGGCCTAAGGCCACAGGGACAGGCCAGCTGGCCCGGCCCAGCATCTCCCCCTGCCGTCTTCCCCCCTCCATTGTTCGACCGACCGGGCACCCGCGGTCGCCCCCGACCACCTCGCCATCCCCGCCGGGAGGATAAGGACGCCGCCCCCTCCGACGCCTTGGTCCTCTCTCCCACTCGCCCCCGCTTGCTCTCCCCACTCGCTCGCCCTCTCCTCCCTCTCCCCTCCTTGGATCCGCCTCGCCCGAGCGCCATTGCCTCCTCTCACCTCACCCCACCGCGGCCACTGAGCTTATCGAGCCGCGCTGTCGTGTCCATCACGTTGGCCGTCGTCCGCTTCGTCTTCCCCGACCACCCACGCGGGCCGGGAGCCACCGAAGCGCCCGCAGCGCCACTGTCTTCCTCCTCGGTCCGCCGCACGCTGTCGAGGATCCGGGCCACCTCGAGCCTCCCCCGCGCCCGCTTTGCTCGCCTACAGAACCGCGGTGAGCCCCGCGCCATCTCCCCTCTTCGTGCCCGTACCTCGCCCCCGACGACATGGTCGAACCCGCCATCGCCGTTGCGCTCGCCGCTGCCAGCTCTAGCCAACTCCGGTGACGCCACCACCTCCATTCGACGTGGCTTCGTCGCCCTATTCGAACGCGCCAGACCCCACGCAAAACTGTGCCCCGTTCACCACCGCGCTCGACTCCGTCCGCCGCCCTCGTCGCCCACCGCCATCGTTTCCGGCCACCCCTAGCCCGGCCACCGCCGCGATTTGACACAGCTCGACACCCACGATCGAACGCCCCTAGCCACGGGCCCGGAGACACCCCGTAGCCGAATCTCGCCGCTAGCCGAGCCCTCTGTCGCGTTTTGTGCCCGCCGGCGCAGCTCCGGCGTTGCCCGTCGATGTGGCCGACCACTAGGGCCCACCTGGGTCACTGCCAGTGGGTCCCCTGACCAGTCAACTGTGCTGACTCGGCGGCTCCAGCCATTGACAAGTGGGGCCCACCCCCTAATTAACTAAAAAACAATTTAAAATTAATTAATTAACTTAATTAGTCAGTGATAGGTGGGCCCAGTTACCTAATTAACCAGTTTAGTTAAAATTAAACTGTGTTAACTTTTCTATCTATGACATGTGGGACCCAGTTGTCAGGTTTGACCTGGACCAGCTGGGTTGACTGCTGATGTCATGCTGACATCATGCTGACACAGTAAATCTAATTTCAAATTATTTTATATAATAATAATTTCAGAAAATGTTTACATCTTTGAAAAACATATAAACATATTCTATAAGTCAGATGAAAATAATTTATATACGAAAGTTCCTCAGAAAAATCTAATGAATACGAATATGCAATCCATTCATCTCTCACATGCCTATAGAATGATGAACATGGATCATTCCCCTCCGATTTATGTGTCCGAAAAATGCCAAACGCAGGGAAAACATTGCCAGATATTTTCCCGCTTCGTCTATAACGTATAGTACCGCGTTAGGTCAACCCTAGCACTGCATATTGCCATGTCATGCATTGTGATGCACTTGTTTGCTTTATATTTATTGTTTCTTCCCCCTCTTCTCTCCGGTAGACACCAAGGCCGATGCTGCTCCCGAGATCGACTACACTCCTGACGATCAATCCCTTTTCATAGAGCTTCTAGGAAAGCAAAACCCCCTTGATCATTCCTATATCGCCCAGTTCCTTTTCTATCATGCTTGCATTAGATTTTGCTACTGTATTTGTATGATCCTATTCTGATACATAGCCTCTTTTTTGTAACCCGCTATTATTACCTTACCTGCTTATCCTATATATGCTTAGTATAGGTTGGTTAGTGATCCACCAGTGGCCCCTCACCTTGTCCCTGTTGGCCTCGCTTTACCACCGATGACTTGATCAATGTGATCGATGTACAGAGCTCGGCACATCACATCACATCACACCCCTTAGTTGTACGACACTGCAGGGTTACTATCGAGTGGCGAGGGTAATACCTCATATAGCACTTCCTATGAGATCTCTGTAGTGTGGTTAATCAGTTGTGGTCTACAGAGGGTGATTCCTCCTTCACCACTCTCGATAATGACTCTGTTGTGCAACACATCAAGAGTGAATCCTCGAGGGTGATTCCTCCAAGTTCACCTTGACGTTTACATCAAGTGGAATCCATCGAGGGTGATTCCTTGGGTTTCCCCTTGGTGTTATGGACACACAGTTACTTTGAATTTACCCCAGAACCATGATGAAGTTGGGTCGGCCCCGAGGGGTACCTGTGAGAGAAATGTGAAGTCGGGTTGACCGTGAGGGTACCTGCGAGTGATGTGGAGTCAGGTTGACTTGGAGGGTACCCGCGAGATAACTACGCGGCACGGCCGGGCATTCTTAGCCCTTGCCGTAAGTCCATGAGACGGGGTGACAGGACCACATATCATGGATCATTGATCGTTACAGCGCGCTCCCAAGACACTCACAGTTTGGATATGTGATCTGAGTAGGCCTCTGGCCTTTTCGCACTAACCACCATGCGGGAATAAGTATGGGCACTCTGCGCCGTACATTTCTCCGAAAGCTCTCTTGACGTCAGCGATTGAGCGGCACGC